TAACCATCAAATCGTCTGATTACTAATGCGCTATAACAAATTATATAAAAGTGAAAAAATCCGTTGAATTTCTTTGCTTAAAAACATAACCATTAAATATTCTTCCACATCACTTCAAAATCTCGAAACAAACGAACTCGGAAAGCGAAATAAAGATTTTAATATGCGCAAAATTGAGACATAAATTAAAGTCACATAATTCTCATTAAAAGGCCGTAAACGAACAACGCCGGAAAATTTGAACAGAACAAAGAAAGAAACGCGAATGGCCAGCCGATAATAAAGCTATATGCACCTTAATGTGGCTATAAGAAGAGATCTCCCTGGGATCGGTATACTTTATACCAAAGACATTTGGCATTCAGATCAAAGAGCAACGACATTTTGGCCATAATTTAATAGTTTCGAAATACAGAAATTAAAATCTTAGGCAAATCAAAATAAACCAGGCATAACGGCCACAGAATCCAAAACGCACACAGATGCTAATTGGCAAGAGTCTTGTCTTTGTAGAAGAGCAAGTGAGTTAGGGAGATGGCTGAGCGAGAGAGATAGCTGCCACCCAGGGCGTTAAGTGGGCGGCGTTTGCTCGGCATCTGAAGGGGGGCAAAGCCTTTGCTTTTTGGCCTGCGCGCGCAATTTAAGTTGAAATTTATGCGCAGTCCAACGGGAAAGAAGAGCATTAAAAAGGAAAAGCAAACGCTCGCTCGGCTCAATGTGTTAAACGGCACATGTGATTTAAAACCGTATTTATTATGGTTTTTAATGTTTTTATTATTTGAGATTTCCGAATTTTCAGCTCTTGTTTGCCGCAACTCCCGGCCATTTGTCTTCGCCGAGGCGTGGAATTTTTTTTGTGCGACATCACAAGGGAATTTGTTAATTTCGATATTTGCCTTTGTGACGGCGATATATTAATGATTATGAATAAATTCTGTGGTAAAAACAAAATCATAAACTACACAATACGGCCATCAGCCCACAGATGTTTTCCTCGTTTGTGTGTGTGAGTGTGTGTGTGTTTGTGTGTGGTACAATACATGTGCATAAAATATTTAGCAACGCTCACACGAGCTTAGATTGCATAATGCATATTTTATGAATGTTTTCGTGCTTTTTCCCCCTCGTTTTTCTCTCTCTGTGTGCCACCAAGTCAGGTCGCACAAAAAAGTGTTGAAAATAAAAATCAAGTGCGCTGCAAAAGGGAGGGTAGCACATTTTAAAGCCACTGCGGCAACAAAAGGAGATGTAGAACAAACAGCCAGCACATGCCACAAAATGTTGCCCCTGCTACTGCTAGTACTCGGGCCACTACCACTGCAAAAATCAACGCATCGCACAGTATGAAGATGTAAAAAAAACAACATTTCATCTATATTACATTTTTATTTACACTCAAAAAGAGATTTTAGATTTTTTAATTACAAAATTCAATTAGAAATCTTATCTTTACTCAGGGAGAATGGGAAGTTAATAAAACTTTTTTTCTTCACACAAAAACCTTTCAAACTATTTAAATTTATAATATAATAATATGGTGAAGACATTATTATTTACAAATTAGACTTACATTTTCAAAACATGTTTATATAATATCACAATAGAAAACGTATTTATTTATGGCAGTTAACATTCATATAAGTTTGTGCATAACTTCTTTAAAACAAAATGAAAAATTTACAAAAATTACCAATATAAGATATTAAACTAATTTTTAGAATGTATTGCAGTAGGTACTAAGCTTAAGAATTTATTATAGTTTTCCAAATATTTGAAATCTAGAGTTTAGAAATTTGACAGATTTTAATAGATGCGAATACATTTAGGGAAATAAATCAATTAATACATTTATTCTATTTAATATCAGTTATTAATGCAAAAATCAAGATCAGTAAAAATTTTTTATTTCCGAAAACATAACAGAAACCATTCCACTGTGCTTTGGCCCCCATTGTTGCCGCTTGGCCAGTGGCTGCTCCTATTGCGGATTTTGAGCTGGGCATGTTTGGCTTGCCGGCTACTGGCTGAGTGCACAAACAGTCATGTGTACGAGCTGATGTCAATCCATCATTTGCCTTAACACCATGATTTGTTTATTTGACGAGCTGTATTAAGAGAAATGAAACACAATTGCCATTCTCTCCGCTCCGCTGCTGATTGCCATAAATAAATAATTTTCAAATCAGACACTGGCCAAATCCCCGGAATGCGAATGGTTGCAGTTACATGCTTGATTAGGCTCTCAATTGTGTGGATAGTTTTGATGTGTTGTAATCAAGAAGGAGAAAAAGGAGAAGGAAACTTGTTCTGTAACCAAAATTAATAGCAAAAATAAATCTGATGCTTAAGTGGAAAGTCTTGTCAGTCGACACACCTGAGCATCCTTCCGTTCGACATTGCTATTGGAATTTATTGCCCCGTTTTTTAGGCCAATAAAACCGGAGTGAACACCCAAGAACTTCCTCTTTAATAAGCTCATAAAGTAACAGCCACTTAAAACTTGTTGTTGCCAGCAGCGACATCAATAAACGGACTCCAAAGAGCTGCCAAATAAGCCGTGAACGAGTTCCGCCTCCGCTGATGCCACATAAACGTCAGTGCCACATCGTCATCATCATCCTCTTCTCGGGTGGAATGGCAACCCCTGCCTGGCCCTGTCTGTTTATAGAAATTAAATGACTTCAGAGACAAAATATGAAACATAAACTCAAGTCAACACTTCGATATTGAACAGGCATACAATAGCCCCTTTCTCAAGACCCCGAAGCCCCTTGTGGCTGCTTCCTTTTGGCTTTTTAACACTTTCGCCTGGCAAGGCAACCGAAGCTATGTTGGCATATTTTTAGTGTGATTTTAAAAATTTAAATTGTCGTAATCGTAAATTAATTTCATGGCACATAAAAATGCAGCATGGGCCATGCCACAAGAACATAACAATGTGTTTGTTTTTTCGGGGCTTTGTTGGTTTTCTCTGTCACCAAAAGGCCCAAATGATGCTTTGTTTTATAACACGATATATTCAAAATACATACTTTCCCTTTTTATTGTGTTTTGAGTGTGCTCAGTTGGCTTTTCAACGCCCATTTTCGAAAAGACACATTCCTAGGAAAACGAACATGATAAAGCGAATGGCTTTTGGTTAGCTAATTTGCCGAAGAAGGAGCAGAAAAATGATTAAAATACGAATATAATGCAATATTTAGAGGATGCATTAAAGAGTCATAAAAGCATTATATTCAACAGTATCTTAATTAGATGTGTAAATTATTTTTGCCGCCGACAGTCTGGCTGCACACGAGTCGCCTTGCAAGCGATATTTGTGTCAACGCCTCGTAATAATTACCGAATGGCAGGCGGACAAAAAACGGCGAAAATGTGTTGCAAATGAATAAAGTTTTATAAATACACATTGCACTTGATAATTAGAGGCATGAACAGAGGCAGGAAATGCCATTCGGTAATTGTTTCCTCAATGCGACTTTACCAGACGCCAAGGTGTGAAGATCCCACTAAAGATGCCTCAATTTTGTTATTTTTCATCTATTCGACACACCGCACAAATTATAGTCCCCTCAGAGATTTATTTATGATGAATTAATGCAGTAAATGCAACTTGTAAATCTGTCACGCGTCCCAGTAAATCATCCTGCATAAGTAATGTGCAGTTTAGTCCCGGAGAAAACACACCCAGAATCCGAAGACGATACTCCCCTCGAACCACTTTGTCACTCGAGATACTCGTACTCTTCCGACTGCAACAGATGCCGGGAATGGAGTCGGGGGAGTGTGAAATTGTGTCCTCTTCTGGCGGCTGTAGGCGGTCCGCGGCTAATCTATGACAGAAAACATGTAATCGGAGCGAATAGCCGAAAATAACTCGATGTCAGGGACCTTTGGCTTCATTTGCAGCTCTTTACTTCGCAATATTCCCTTAAGGACTGGCCCTGTGGCCCTTAAGTTCCTTTGCTTGGCCATCCAGTGGCCAATTAAAATCTCAATCATGGTTTTACAGAAATACATTGTGTCGAATTTAGTTGTTCAAATTAATTATGGTACACGGTGGAAAAATCTTAGCAGCTTTAGAAATACTAAAACTTAAAGGCAGCGTTGTATAGGATCAACATTTAATGTGTTGTTTTTTCAGATTTTTTTAAATAATGTTCCGTTTAGTTAAGCAATAATTATGATGACAATATCTGAAGGATCTTGAGAGAGTATTGCCTACTTTCCAGAGCCAGAGAGTTACATTTATAGTAGTTTGGGTCCTTAAAATAGTTATAATATCTATTGAAAGTGTTGACATTTGAGCAAGTAAAGTTATCTTCTTGGGACTAACAGTTCAGGTCGCTAGACTTTAACTAAATTAAACAGCAAAAATGTGACTAAATTACCAAAATGTGAAGGCGCCAATAAGTATGCATCAATAAATGTTAAATTCAAAATACCTAAAGAAACGTTCCATATATTAATTTTCTTTAATAAAACATACTACTAGACACCCTCATAACCCATAGGTTTCTCTCTGATATCCCCATAAAGATTTTAACATGAATAAAGTAGGAAATTTCTCCCAGTATATACCATGTGCTGCCATCCAATTCCAATTCCAATTCCCAGCTCCGTCTGGGGGCGGCACTTTCTTTTTATGACTGCTCTGCTGCCGTCGAATAAGTGAAGCGCGAACTAATTGAAATTTGTTGCGCTGACATCTTCTACAAGATCTGCTTGCAGTTGGGGCGACAGGAACAGAAGACGCTGCCCTTGTCGATCGTCTCCAGATCATTAGCCTCTTCCCGTCGTATAGTTATTGTCTAATTTTAATTAATTTATCACAAGCATAAAGTGGCGCAACTTGGCGCAACATCTCCCCGCAGCGTTGCCCCCGCCACAAATCACTCACACGCCTCGTTGACCGGCTAGAAACTTGCCCTGTGGGGATTGTAACATAAATTTCCATCCCAGATTCTTGGCATTTCCCGACCATTCAAAAGGAATTTACGACAACTTCTCGTCTTTTATTTTGACATGCTTAACAAACAGGCGAACTTGCAACAGCTCATTTGATTGGGTCGTTTAAGATGCCACAGCAGGTACGAGCTATAGCCAAGTTGAATAGGAAATAGAAAAAAATAAACAGAAAACAACCTAGATATGGGAAAAGCTATATCAATAGGTGAACTTCCACTGGTTCTTCCAGGTTTCCCGCTTGTACATATTCTTGTAGGTCTCCACGGACACCTGGAACTCTGGACCGAACAAGGTGTTGGCCAAAACATTCTCCACAGCCAGATTTCGATTGGTTACGGCGTGAACAATAAGTAAGGGATTATTCACCTAAGGGGTGATCAGAATATATTTTTATATTATTATAATTAAGCTGATTGAAGAACAGAGAGAATATACCTACCGGAATAGTTTTGCCCTCGTATTCGAATCTCAAGTAAGGATCCGTGTGGGCGCAGAAGAAGTGAGTATGCGAAGTGGGAACCCTAGCTGATGGGCCGCAGTTCTATGGGATAGGCTACCCATAGCTTAAAATACTTTTAAGGAGAGAAAAGAAGGACATACCTTGTGGGACACCAAGCCGAGTGGCAGTGTAACCTCGCCATGTTTGGTGGTGTAGAAAGACTTTTCAACGGGTAACGAAAGGTTTAACCTCTTTGGCCCACTAAACACATACATAGGCTCATCGGCGGGCTCCAGAGCCTGGAGGCGGAACTTCTCACCATAAGCCAGATACTGACCAGAACGGTCATCCTCGTTGGGACTTACAATCCTGAAGCTGTTGCGGAGCGAGGGACGTGGCGAAGGTGCCACCGTAAGATCGCACATCTCGTTTATAGTGTGGCAGTTGCGATGCAGTGCCTCCTGGGTAATCACCACCGAAAGAACAAGGTTCTGATCTATTGCTTGTTGGCGGCAGACATTGATCCTCACGGGGCGTAACTGAACCACCACTCCAAAGGCCAAGACATCCTGCGGCGGCCCTAATGTGGTTTCCTGGTAGAAGCGGTCGTAAACGGCGCGGGTTCTGTCTAGTAGAAGGTTGCCGCTCTCTCGGCGCTTCTTCATTTCGAAAACTCGTTTCTATCAGGGAGTGAGGATAAGTAGTAGTTTGATTACTTGACCTTTTAAATTTGATTTAAAGCTCTAACGAGTAGTGCCTCAATCTAATCAATGTCTTAATATTTAGTCACAGATAACTGGTGTTCTATATCACCATAAACAATGCTCACCTCCTCTGACAAGGCAGCTTCGAACCAGTTACCAACCTTGACCCCGGCGCTATACATGGCTGAGGAATGATTTTGAGAATGACAAATGTATTTTGGTAAGTTTCCAAATAATCAATTACCTAATGAGTGAAGGAAGATGGCAAAAGGTGTCCAGTTTCTACCCGCTTTTCCTATTTATACTGTGTAGTGTGCCTACCTAGTGACGGCCTAGTAACCACCTACTACGATGTGCTCCCATTTGAAAGATCAAAGATAGTTTTCCCCAGCTCCTCCAGGAAGCCACACACAATGAGGATACCCAGCGACAGCTAACCGAGCATAAAATTTGCATGCAGCGGCTTCAGCTTTGATCCTGTCAAAGAGGCGAAAATAAATTGCTCAATTATGAAATATTAACTGCACACGAGGCCGAGGCGCAAGTTAATTACTCATTTGTTGATTGTCGACTGTGGTTAATGAAGTATCCAACTAATTACATGTCGAGACGAGCCGGGAGCCGAGAGTGCGCATGTCATCAGCCGTTCTCCAAGGAATTCCCTTTAGCCGCTCATATTGAAAAATGCCGCTGCGGAAATTGAAAATGCGGCGGTCGGCCGTCTTTGGAACGATTTTCCACCAGCTGCCAGGGAGCCAACCGACTTGGAGCCAGCAATTTATTACCTTTCCCTTTGACATCTTGACACAATGTCGCCCTGGCCCTCGTCTCCCTCTCTCAACATCTCATCTCACCATTCCGGTGGCTCGCGTTTCGAGTAGTTTTTCCGTGGGGCTCTGAAATTACCCGCATTCATCTTTTGACAGTGGAAACTCATCGCACTGGCGTCTAATTAGATTATTTGTCAGTTCTCCTGCTGAATGGTTAGTGGCTCATCTCCTAAGTTCTGGGACTCATTCTCGATTGGCCCGGAATTAGCTTAGTGTGGGTGCTGGAAACTGAGAAGGTGGCTTGCTAATTAGATAGTCCATCATTGGGATTGGCTGTAAGTGGCAAGAAACTAAGAACAAGATAGTATCAGCTAATTTAATAAGATTATCGAAGATCAATTATGTATAATAACAAAGTAAATCGTAAAAATCTCGAAGACATTTTAGTTTTGACAGCTTTCAAAATGAGACTAATGGCTTAGAAGCTGACAAACGGATGTCATTAAATAAATTTTCATAAATACATTTATGATTAATGGCCATTAAACCAAACATCTTAAAAATGCCTAGCCTATTGAACCTATTAAATCAAAACGAATTTAAGATTAAATGTAAAATTAGTCAGTAATCTCATTTAAATATTTGTTACCGCTAATTAGCTTTTATGAACAGGAAATTCCTTTGAAAAGTTTAAAATTGGTTGCTAATATTGGAAGATATGCTAAGTATCTTCTAAATCGTATCCCAGTTTAAAATTGAAAGAAGTATCTTAAAAGAAAGATGTCAATCGGCCTTATGAAATTGTGTACAAAAATAAATCTTTTGAAATAAATTAAGTTAACAAAATACAAATAATTAAGTTTTTATGTTGTTTAATTTACATTCCATTTTCCAAATTAGGGGAATAAACGACGAAACGGAGCAAAACGAAAGTGCTAAAGGGTGTGAAAGTTGTCAGAACCTAAAAGGTGTATACAATATAATATAATAGTTCATAAAAAATCAGTCAAAACTGTCTAATTGTAAAAATAATCCAGAAAAAAACCGTTTGTAAAAAATGTATGCATTCTTAGTTAGCTTTAACAGCAAAGTAAAAATCCGTCTTGAAACCCAAAGAACAATGCCATAAATCCAAAGAGAACTTTCCTTCAACCTTCTCCCAAGACATTCCATTTCGTTGTTACTTGTAGTATTGAATTTTATTTGTATTTCCTTTTTATTATGTTTTGTTTTTTATTTTATTTTATTTTTTTTTTCGCTTAAACAAACAGGAAACAATTAACTTAGCATTATTTTTACAATTAGCTTTAATTAGAAATAATAAAAATATTGAAGCTTTTTATTTTTTGTTTTATCGTTTTCTGTTGTGTTTACAATGTTTATGTGTATTTAGTTTACAATAATTTGTTTAAATGGTACTCTTTATTGAAATAGATGTTCGCGTGTATATACATTAAAGCAGCGAGGAGCGACTGCGATCCAAAGCCAAACTATCCAGAATATATATAGTATATAGTATATAGTATATATATATATATAGCTATATAAGTAGTTGATATATTTGGCGTTGACGCGTAAGCGCTCGTATTTCCACTTTATGTTACAACAATTTAGTTAATTCGACTACTAAATATACATGTTACATGATGCCGCATAATGCTTTTCTGCTGCTTTGTTTTGTTTTGTTTTCTTTTTTTTTAATATAGTTTATAGTTTAATTTACTTGTTTAATGTATAATTCCATTAATTGTTTTTACGTTCTTCCCACCTGGCTTCTCGCATCGCTTTAAGTTTACAATTTTCGTTAGAATTTCTCTTTTCTCTTTTTTTTTATGTACATAAAAACAAAAGGAACTATATCTTTCAGTCTTTTTAGTGTGTGTATGTGTAATGTATGTAAATGTGTGTGTGTGTATGGGTGTCTCTGTGTGTGTGTGTGTGTGTTTTTGTGTAGAATATCTATTGTTTCGTTATGCATATATAGTATATATATATATATATATATAGCGTATTACATAGTTAAATTAATATAATTGTTTTGTTTTTGTTTTTGTTTCTTTTGTTTTTTTTTTTTAATCATTTTTTTACTTCAGTTTTCAGTGTAAATATCGCTTGCTTCCCAGTTTTGTTTATATAATTAGCACTAGTTTCTTCTTCCTTCTCTTTTTTTATATTTTAAATATTAAAATTAGTTCAAGGTTTCCTCCCTAACCTTCTCTCCAAACTTCCGCTGCTCCTCCTCTCTTACAATGCCTATAAACTAAGTAATTTGTATAATTCATTTAAATATTTAGTTTCCTTGTTTTCGCTTTGCATCTATGTATAAAATAAAAAACAAAAAACAAAGAACCCTTGCACGTGCGCGTGTGTTTTTGCTTTTGCTTTTCTTTGCTTTTCATTTAGTCGTTAAATATATGTGTTTGTTGTATAGTTAAATATATATAATAATATAAAGAGCGAAGGCAAATATCGAATACTTTTGTTGTAGTTGTTGTTTTTCGTTTAAAAATTCCATTTGTTGCAGTTGTTGTTGTTGTTGTTGTTGTTGTTTTTGATTTCGATAATGTAAATGTTGTTTTTGTTGTTTCTGTTGCTGTTGCTAAAGTGGGCTTTGTTTATTGCTTATTTTCCGATTTTCAATCAAAAGAATGTTGTGTGCTTTTCTGGTTTTGTAGTTTTTCAGTTTTGTAGTTTTTCGGATTTGGAGAACTGTCAGGATAGTACACTCAGCAAACATATCACGTTCAGTTCTTGATTATATGTAAATATATATGGTAAATGGTAAATGGTAAATGGTAAATGGTATATGGTATATGGGTGTATGGTATACAATTTGTCTATTGTTTTCGTCTATGATCTATTGTTGAATTCAAAGAATTAAATTCAAGAAAAACAAAATCCGTCCGGTTTTTTGTTCATATTTGAGTTGTTAATGGCGTATGGCAGATTATTATTTTAAATCCTTAGTGCAAACTTTTTTTTGTATATAAATGAGTCTATGGAGTTTTTTCTGTTTTCTCTTTTCTGTTTTTCATTAAGTTTTTGCTTGGTTTAACTATAGTTAGTTAGTACATAAAATGCTTTTGCTTCGTATATATATATATTGGATATATATGATAGCATGTGTTGTATAAAAAACGACAGCAGATTGTTTGTATACAATAATTATGATGCATCAGTTAGTTAAGCTCTCAGTTTGAAATTACGTTATGGTTTCCACTTTCTCTTACATTCTTTTCTTCCTTTCTCCGAAGCTTGGCTTCAACGAAAATTAATTTAGAAAAAAATTGAACAAAAGCCTTTCTTTTTAGGTTCTTTCGCTCTTCTTGGCTTAGAAAAGTGATGAAATGGTGGTACTTCCTCTAGAGCAAAGCAAACATTTGCCATTTAAATAATAAATTAATTACAATTAGGTAATAAAAAAAAGAGAAGAAACTATAAGTGAAATCTGAACAATCGAGCAACACTTACCACTTGCCTTAAAAGATATATATAATATATATATATATTAATATATAAACAAAAATCAGGGGTAAACGTGCTAAAATTGCAAGGCATTTTCCACATGCATTTCTAAAAAAAAATATGATCTTTAGTAACATTTAAATTTAGTTACGCTTAGTTTGTTTAGTTTGGGTAATTAGACACTAACGCTAGCTAACTCAGTGAAGACAGTTGTTGTTGTTTTTTGTATTTGTTTTTGTATTGCTTGTTTGCTGTGTAGTTTTTCATCTACTTTCCGGGCTTTCTTGCTATTCATTCCGTTATTCTGTGTGATTCCTCTTACTCTCGCCGCCTGTACTAACTGCGATTTGGTAGGTACTAATTAAAAAATTATCATAATTAATATACGTAGTAGTAGGTATGAGTAATAAGTTATAATTGGTAGAATTTGTATGTCTATTTAAACGGTACTTAGGTTGGTTGGTTGTTGGCTTTTGTACTTTTGTTATTTGCATGTAGGACTTGTTTTTCTTTTGTTTGTTTTCTTCTGTTTCTGTTTCTGTTTCTGTTTAACTGCTTTCTACTGCTTACTACTGCTTACTAATGCTTACTACTGCATTCTGGTGCTTTTCTCTGCTTTCACTATCGTTCTCTGCTCTCGTTTTGTATTGCGTTAACGGCTCTAGTTCATTAATATAAACAAACAAAAAATAGAGTAAATACTAAACGAATACGTAAACATAAATAGGCTTAATCAAAACTATTGGTATGATACATGTGCGGTTAGGGTGGTTCGATATTCCCACATCAAGAATCTCTGTCTCAAAAGCAATCCTTTTCGCTTATTTCCAGCATTTTAGTCTTGTTTTCCATAACTTGTTACTCTTCCTTTAATATATAATTAAGTCGTTGCAAAAACAGACGTCTAAATAAATATTTCGAAAAATTAAATTCTATGAATCTCAATTTTACAAATGTTGGTTTGAAACCAAAGACAGGAGATTAACACAAAAATGTTAACTCCTTTTCATTTAAATAATTTGGACAACACGATTAAAATATATCTATATAGAAAACGTAGTTTTTGAGACTTTCCTTGACGAAAAAAGGCTACTAAAGATTGCTTTTCGAATAGAAATCTCTCTGGGGACCACCCCAAGTTGCCGGCATTCGGGGGGGAAGAGTCAGAGTCAAGGAAGCTTGGCTTGTGGCAAAAGTTTGCATCCCCTCATTCTTGCTTCCACACAGCTTCCATCCATCTATTTACACTGGCTATCGGCTATACACTACACTACAGAACTAGGGATCTAAACGATTACGCCTCCCTGCCGATGAATCCATTGGGTGGCGGAGGCCTAGTCGTACTCGCCGGCCGCAGCCAGCTCTCTTTGAGCAGGTTGGACATGTTTCCAGCTCCTGTCGTCGTCCCCACTCCAGAGTTTGGATTTGTGGGCGACTTTCTCGTCTGGCTGACGCTGCGACTGCGTGGCGGTTGGGATTTGCTGGGCACCGCCCTATGCCTCGGCCGACTCAATGGTATCCGCTCCATTTTGATGTGCTCCACATGCTCATCGTCCACATCGTCGTCCTCCTCTTCGTCGTCCTCCTCGTCCAGTTCGTTGTCCTCGTCGGAGCTACTTTGGCGTGCATTTAACGGCGCTTGCATGGGCTGGTAATTCGGGTTGTGGCTGATGGCCACACCGGCCATCTGAACTGGTGGCTCATTCATGGGCACATAGTTCGGATTGGTGCTTATTAGACTGCCTGGCGGGTGCATCATCTCATAGTTGGGATTGGGACTGCTGGTGGTAAGGATGGTGGCCTGATCACTGGCCATTGATTCGTCCAGTAACCTATAGTTAGGATTATCGCTAATGCCCATAACGCTGCCGCCGACGCCACCTCCTCCGCTTGGCGTGGCCGTTGGCGTGTAGAAGCGTGGTGTCCCCGTGTAACTGCCAGCCGAACCACTACCACCACTCTCAATGGTACCCAGATTTCCCATGGCCACCGGGTGACTTGTCAAGTTGGAGTTACTGCTGGTACTGGGAGCATTGGAGGTGTTGCTCTTGTGGCTGACATTGCTGCCAGTCCGCTTGTGGTTGAACAGATGGCGATTCAATATGTTGGCCTTGTTGCGGAGCGTGTCTGTCACCGTTTTCTTGAGACTAGGATAGCGGCCGGTGTGGGAACTGGCGTTGGAGCTAGCTGCCGATGCCGTTGAGGGCTGAAGCGAGGATCCACCGATTACATCATCCGGCATGGAACTGCTCATGATCACCGGCTGCCGGGTTTTTCTTGGCAGCAAATGTTGCTCTCCACTCAGCTTGCCACCGCCGCCAGTGCTGCCACTTCGGCTCGTTGGCAGTTCGGCGCATTTCGGACTCGGATCGTACATCTCATAGCCCCTGTCCCCATCCAAGGCGTCCGAATCGGGCATAACGTAGGCCGAGGCTGCATCCTGACTCTGCGCTCCTATTGGATTCTGGTAAGCGGTGGGCATTGCATTTTGACCATCAGGAGTGCTGCTGGCTATGAATCCCGATGGCAGGCTGAAGGGTGAGTGGGTAGCCTGATCATCAACCATGGCAATGGGACTCTCAGCCGGTTGATCCAACGAGGAATTCTGCTCCATGTTGGATTTGTAGCCTTGATAATCACCCATTCGCAATGGAGTAGTTGCATCCTCCTGTTGTTCTCGATTCTGCAGATCTTGGTCTAGCGGGACCGCTGCGAATGCATCCATCTGGCTGCGCTCCTTGCGCTCCTTTTCACGATGCTGCAGACCCACCTCCGAGTGATAGAAGGACACATCCTTGAACTGGGGGTTCTGACAGTGCGGTTCGAGGTATGCAATGATGTCAAGGAAACTAGGTCTAGCCGAGGACCTGTGCTGCCAGCATCTTTGCATTAGTTCGTGCAGCAAGGCCGGGCAGTTTTCCGGCTTTTCCATGACACCACCATCGATAACGAAGCGCAGGACTTGTTCGTTGGACAGACCTTGATATGGCTGTGCGGCCAAAGTGGCCATTTCCCAAAGAACCACACCGAAGCTGAACACATCACTGGCACTGGAGTAGACACCATCTCGCAAGCTCTCCGGTGGCATCCAACGCACTGGCAGCAGCCCCTTGGTTCCCTTGCGATAATAATCCGTTTCATAGATATCCCTTGTCATGCCAAAGTCACCGATCTTAACCGTTAAATCATCAGCCACCATGCAATTACGCGCTGCAAGATCACGATGCACGAACTTCCTAGCCGCCAAATATGCCATACCGTCTGCAATCTCAATGGCCATTTGGTAGATCCGTCCATAGGTTGGAGGCTGCACATTTCCAGTGACACCGATCCGATTAAGATACGTTATCATGGCCTCATCCCGTTCCTCGGGACGATGGGCACGCAAATAGGACTTGAGATCGCCCTTCTTCATCAGCTCCATGACCACCAGAGCCGGTTGCCCCCTGGAGCAGACGCCCAGCAATCGAACAACATGATAGGTATTGAACTCCTTCATCACGCTTGCCTCGCTCAGGAAATTGGTACGCTCGCGATCCGTGGCATTCTCATTGACCGTTTTGATGGCACACTGATAATCCACCGCACTGACGCCAAAGTTCTTCAGGATACCCTCGTACACCATGCCAAAGGATCCCTGGCCCAGTGGTGCCAACTGAATGATGTTCTCCCTCAGCACCTCCCAGTCATCGGGTATATACTGCATGCTCGCATAGAATGGATTCACCTCGGTGTTCATATGAAGGTCATTGGAGGGACCCCTCTTGCGCAAGAGACGAACGTAGGCCATTAGGAAGAAGATCAGCATGACACAAGCGATTCCCGCTGACCACAAAATGTACTTGGCATAACTCGGAGGTGGCTAAAGGAAAATAAAATATTTATTATTATAAAGATTTATTTCAAAGCTTTGATTGCAGTTCACCTCCACTTCTATGTATTCGAAGTTCGTGTACTCGCCGAATCCTGCTAACGAGTTTGCTCGAACCCTAACGCTGTAAAGACCCTCGTTGAGCTTTACTAAATAGCCAGCGGTCTGGTTGTAGTCCGCCCCGGGAATGCACTTCTTCTCCTCCACTTGATCGGGCTTCTGGAGCTTATAGGCCACTTCGTAGGTGACAATTTCCCCGTTTGGATCTGATGGTGGGCTCCAGCGAATCCGCACCGAGGAGTCCGTGTTGTTGGCGTTTTCTAGATCCACCTTTAGATCTTCGACCTTGTCAGCGAGTTCTAAAAATAAACAATAATTATTAATAATATTACATTAATATTCCTTCTGGAATACGTTACCCCTCTTCTTTGTGGTTTGGAAGACAGTTTCGTAATTGCTGCAAAGCTTGACCCCGAATTCCTTATTCTTTTCAATGGGAATTTCTTCTCTACAGGCCACCACGAAGATGGAGTAGCGGGTGAAGTGGCGCAGATTCTCGAAGACGAAAGAGGTAGCATTTGGCGGCAATTCCTTGGCAAACACCTCATAGAATTGCCCATTGGCTGACAAGAGAGCTTCGTCCTTAAAGGTCCTTTCGTCTTCCTTCTCGGAACTGACTTCCTTTTCGCCGGTAATAGATCGAACATGACGAAGCAGTACACTGCCCTCCATATCATCGAACTCCGGCTCCAAACTAATCTCTCTCTTGCGACGCGAGGGCTTCTTTTTGTCCCCAGCATTTGGAATTGCATTGGAATCGAGAGCTGCACCATCACTTGGCTTTTTATCGCCACTCGATCCAGTCGTGTTCTTCCGAGATCTTGGAATGAATATGAAGTTCTGCAAAGCGTTCTCAAACTCCATTCCGGCTTGAACATTACGGTCGTCATAAGATGTTTTCGGGGTCTTTTTCAAATTATTCTCGCATTTGCAGTCGCCTGATGATAGGTCCGTGGTTTTTTTGCTGGGAACCTTGGCGGGCTCGTCATTGTCCATTTCCTTGACGAGAGCTGCACGGAAGCAAAGAGATTTAGAATTATATCATAAAATGTTATCAGGAAGTAGGTTAGCTTACGTTCAGTGCAGTAATCCCGGTTGTTATTCCGTGTTGGCCGGCTTATTAATCTGGCTTTAATGAAGTAGCGTGTTAGTACGCCGTAGGGCGGATTAAGATAGCTCCAGGTGACATTCTGTAAAGAAATTCCAAGAATTAGTCATTCGATTAAGTCTAATTCATCTAATTTCATACTCACAATTTTGGAATCTGAAGTGGCGTTGGCCATAACCTCTGTCACCATGGACGGTTGTCCGGGATTTGTCCTAAAGTTCTGCACCTCACTTTCGGCATTAACCAATTCTGAGGATATGGCCATGGTGCGGACGTAGTAGGAGTAGTTTGTGTAGGGAGTCAAATCGCCCAAAACTAAGACACCGGCCTTGTCGGGAGTGCTAACCTTCCAGCGTTCGTCGCATGGATCGTCACTGCTCTTGGATGCGTTACCATAGGGATCAATCATATGATAGAAAACAAAGCCAATGAACGCACGAGCATCCTTAAAAATCACAGTCGCATTGGTCGGCTCTAGTGGCTCTCCTATCGCCACCTTTGTAGTGACATTTAGCTTGGCACTATACGTTCCTACCGATTGCACTGTTACGTTGAGAACCGCGGTTCCACCTGTAGACCAAAACATTCGATTTAGTTTTCAATAATTCGATGAACATTTTAAATCAAGAACTCTAAATCACTAAGATCACTCACAAGATCCTCGGTTCCCGTTGGAGTCTGTAGCAACATCGCGCTTGTCAAAGAACTGCGGCTTGGAGGCCAACATGGGCAGCAGTCGATTGATCGTGGATACACACAGTTTTGGATTGAAATGAAAGAAGACGCCGCCATTCCTAATGAACACCGTCTGATTGGGTCCCCAGAGCTCCTCCAGATCCCGATTTTCCAGCACATATAATGCAAACTTATTAGCATCCATCGGCGGATCGCCAGATATTTCGGTCAGGGATTGAAAGAACTTCAACGATTTCAAACCGTAGGTCAGGTGCACCATCAAGGAGGATGTAATTTTATGGATGGCACCCAGTCCGTGTACTAATTCTTCCATTACGTTAGCTGATGGTACGGGAATTAAATAAGATAAATTTTTCTAAACTCGTAAAACTAAACTACTAACCGCCGCTTTCACGTTTAATGCTAATAGTCAGGGGCTCATCTCCTGTTATAATGGTGCATCCGTGGAAGTCCCTTGCACGCTCCAAGCTGTCAATGAGGTTGGAGGGGCACTCCTTTTCGCACTTGCCGCCCGGGCAAGCCTCGCACGTTGTTTTGTTCTCCGACTTCTTATAACCCAATGGGCACTGTGTAACGCATTGCCCATCGAAAGTAACACCGAAATGCTCGCCGGAAGGGTCAAACTTTGATAGATTTAGGCACTCGTGCGCCGTAACACAACGGCTGTCGTACTGCAAAGTAGGAGTAGAAATATCACATAAAGGTCATGATGCGGAATTCAGCTAGTATAGCCTTACCCTATAATAGCCTGCGGGACAGGAGTCCATGCAGATGTTGTTGCACGACACATTTCGACAGCTGATGCAGGTCTCTTTGCCATTTCTATCCCTGATGCAGCCACCCAAACAGGCATCGCTGCAGCAGGTATGTTCATCGATGCAGTTGTTTCTGCACTTTTCAGGACAAACTAGAGAAATGATATGTAAATAATGTAAATATAGAGTATATTATGTAAATCGAAGTATATAAACTCACTTGTTTGACAGATTTTGCTATCCCAGCACAAGCGTTTATTATCGAGCAACGGACAACTCGCATTTAGTTCTCCCTCAACTGCAGTGGAATCATGACTATCCCCAATTCGAATTTCACCCGGACACCTGGATAGCTTGCACTCCTCCTCCTTGCCATTCTCCGCTAGCACTACCTGTGACTTGTTCAAGTTCTCAGCAATAATATTCTGCCAATGGACGGTCCTATCGAAGCATAGCTTATGATTTCTCTCTATCCGTATACCGCCTACGCCCACGAATCGCAGCCTGGGTAGCCCCAAGTCCATCAGGTCCATATTGGAATAGACCACAAATGCGTATCCATCTATCAGTTTCAGTCCCCGAATAACGCTCAGGTTGGGAAAGACCTTTGATAGCGAATGCAGCCCGGTCACCCGATAGACTACCACGAATTCCGTGACCTCGGTTAGCTTTGGAAATGATCGGTTCAGTGGACTGGCGTCGCTTATCAAGTTGATCAACAAGAAGCCCTCGATGACAGTGCAGTTCTCTAATTGGCTGAATGCCGATGGCACGTTTCTAACATCAATGGATTTGCAGGCTGTAGGAGTGAAAAGAAAGATATCAGTTTCGGACTTATATATCGTATGATATATATTATATTTAATATACATATATCAATTTTGTTAATAAACTAAATTAGAAGTCATGTTAAGTACCCCTATGTTCGGTTGAAGTGCCTATCAGGTAAACATTACCCTCTGTTAAATAATTTTAACATATACTAGCGCCCTCTGTTGCTCGAAACTTATAAAATATAGTTTTTAAATCAAACTAAAACTTAATCATTATTATTACGGACTTCGTAGTATTTCACGGTTGGAGGTCGTGACCGAATGCTAAAACGAAATAGAGCTGCGCAGGCACCTCTGAATATGCATGCTTAATCCCAACTTTCTGTCTCATATAGTTTCCGTGATCTTAGAGTTCATACGGACAGATGGACATGACCAAATATACTTTTCTAATGATTTTAAATAAAATATTATTATTAAATATTTTAAATAAATATAGTTTATAGTATCGAAAACAATTTATTCTACCTGTTACATGCTTTCTAACGAATAAAGTAAACTTTATAACTCCACGACTAGAGGGCGTAAAAGTCTTAATACTTACGTTGAACACTTTGTGACAGTCGCATAGTTTGGTTTGAATCGCTTCTAGTCGGCCGCGAATGCGTTGCTACCGATATTGCCGTTTTATCTATATCGTACGTTATATCATTATGTGGCAGATGCTTTTGTTGTTGGTGCTGTTGCAAGGCGACTGATGATGCAGCTGCATGAATGACCAGAAGATTAAGGCCTGCCAGCAACAGCATTAGGAATTTCGTGTAATTAACATTAATGTGTGGCTGTTGCTGTCGTCGCCTGCGACGCCTGTTAAAAACACCGCAGTTGAACATCAGCAGCAATAGTGATTGCAACGTTCGCAGAATATTGTGGCAATTGCTAAACACATTTAGTTTTTCGCGCTGCCTTCGATTGTTTTTCGTGCTGCTGGCGTCGTTTTCATCGTTGCAGCGATTTCCACTACATCTAACCCCCCGCTTTTTGCCACCCGTTGTTTCAACATTTGCGGTATGGCATAGTCTTTCACAAAATGCCGCAAATGATAAGATGTTGCGGCGCGCTTTACATAGCGAATTCAAAATGCCGTTACCATCCGCACTGCTTTCACTGCTTGTTTTACAGCTGCGGCTGCTGTTAGGTTCTTCACTGCTTGCGGGTGTCTCGACTACCTCCACTGCTTCCCGACAGCAACATGTATCCAGCAACATTTCTTTACGACACAAAACGCAAACGTTGCCAAGCGTGAGAGCTGTTGTTGTTGTTAATATTGCAGGTGTTGATAATACCTCATCAGTGGTTGTTGTTGTGGTTGTTGCCATATCGTTTTCCATCTTGATTTTTTCGCGCTTTAATTTACCTTTTGCCACCCGATGTTGCATATTGAACATTTTCCGGTGTTTTCTTTGATTTTATTGTATTTTTTGTTGTTGTTGATGTTTTTTAGCGGGTCCCTTTCGCGCTCCCGCCGCTAGGTAATCATCTTGCGTCCCACTCTCGCACGCTTTTGCAGCGGATACAAGCAACAAAATATAAAATTTAACTTCAGTTTTTCTTTCTTATTCTGTTTTTTATGTCGTCAGTTGGAATGCTATTTTTCTCCGGTTTTTCTTCTATTTCTTTACGCTTTTGCAACTGTAATGAGAAAGCAGAATGTGCAAATGTTGTTGTTAGTTCTCAGGTTAAAAGCAATAAAAAAAAAAAAAAAAAAAACAACAACAAGCTAACTTAATTTTACGTGGAAAAGGGCGCCAAGTGCTCGGCACACGTGTCGAACTACCTGCCATCTGTCGATCTCTGTCGCACAAACCGATTTGAATTTAACGCTTAACGCTCGTCATTCCCCCATAAGTATAAGGGGCATATATGACTGACGTAGGACGGGCACTAGATGGAATATTCAAAAATTGGTTACGTTTTGACCTATTGCAGTAAAAGTCTAGAAAAGGATCATATGATCGGATTTCAGTCTTACATCACTATCTATGTATAATATCCATTCAAATTATGATTAATATTATGTATACTATTATGTTCTAAGTTTAAAATCTTATTTTGTATCTTGTATATATAATTTGATACCACTTTCTGTTATGTTAAATAAATGTTAAATCGAATAATCTTTTCTGTATACATATTTACGCTAATTGTAAATGGAAAATCGGCAAATTTATAAGTTTATAATAAATATAAATAAACATTTTACAATTAATAAGCTTAAAAACATAAATTGTCAAAACTTTGCAAAGAAAAACAAAAACCAAAAATAGCGCTCCCGAAAAAACAGCTGAGAGCCGGCATATGCCCATCCAGCCATCTCTCTCACACTCGCTCTCAAATTGGGGAGCGCAGCTTTGCTAAACAAAAACAAAAACAATAACAACAAGAAAATAAATAATTTTATGCGACAGACAAAAGAATAGAATAAATAAAAATGGCAAGCATATGGAGAGCGATTTGTGTTTTAGCATTGACGTTTACGTTTATATATATTTTTATTTCCCCTTTTTTGTTGTTAAGTGTTTTGGGTGTTGTATTTTTTTTTTTTGCTTTTTCCTTTTGCTTTTTTAACTTTTTGAATGACGCGCGACTTTTGTCGTCTGACGTTGGCAGCGCAGTCGCGTTGTAAAGCGTAGTAAATAGTAATTGCGAGTGTGTATGGGTGTGTGCGAGTCTTACTACGCTGTAATTCATCAAATTCTACGCTTTTTCCAACGGGTGACTTGTGCAAAATGATTTGAATTTACTATCTTGTTGTTTTTTTTGCTTCTAATTTTTTTGGGCGTAACTTGGGGCAAGGAAAATGCGGCTGCGTGGCAAAAGGAAAAGAAAAGGAAAACTCGAGAAGGAGAGAGAGAAAGAGTGTGTGCGGCAAGAGAGAGGGTGCTGTTGTGCGAATTTCTGCTGCGTAGTTGAAAACGTAGTAGATGTACAATACAAACACACAAAAACGAATAATAAAAAAAACCGCACACGCAATTTGTTCTTGTTTTGCAAATTTTTCTAGCTTGTCGCCGAATACAAAAAAAAAAAATTCACAAAAAGCCTTCTCTTTGCTCTTGCTCTCTCTTTCTCACAACACGCACACACACACACACACACACACACAGCCTTACACACATGCTCTCAACTAATGCTGCTTGTTTATTATGCTTGATTTGTTTTTGTTCTTATTGTTGCTTTTATTGCGCAGTAAAAAATAATACACACGGCGAGCAAATGTCGCGCTAAAAATACATAAAATACAAAAACACGAAAAATGTTTAACTGAAATAATTAAAATCGTTATAGAACACAAATCAAATTAAGAGACTCGCAAAATAAATACATAAATACAACTTAATAAAAACCGGCTCTCTTTTTGCGCTCTCAATACATAAGCCACAGTGACTCTCAAACTGCGGCTCTCAAACTTTTGCCCGGTGTGTGTGGCTGTGTGTGCATACGTATTGGTGACCCAGATTCCACTGACTATTTTTTTATCGTTCACTTCAACTTAACAACTAACTAAAAAGAAGACAGCTCCAGTGAGCAACATTTCCGGACAACTCACAACATCGTCAAAAGATCGCAGAGGCCTGACGATGTCCGATATAAAGATAGTAGACCCTTGGAAATTTATTTCTACATTCGCAAAGGCAAAGTATGTACAGAAGTACATACATACATATGTATATATGTATCTTCATGTATGTAATATATGTATGTAATCTGTACATTCATAACATTATACAAAATGATCGTTTTGTAATCTTAGATCTTAAACAGGTTTTAGTCATGTCTAATTTGCAGAGAAATAAATTAAGTTTTTTTATATCTTTAATGTGAAAACTTAAATTTAAAGACTCATTTTAAACTTATTAAAGATATACTTTAAAGAGTTATTAAAAATAGAGAATAATTAGAGAACATTTTCAGCATATGAGTGAAAAATGAAGTCTCTAATTTTACGCTTTGGTAAGTTTTTCACCTTCTCACATACCTTTCCCTTGATCATTTTTTGGTTTTAAATTGAAAAAGATTACATAAAAGAAAACTAAATCTTTTAATGCAGTAACAAACCTATTAATTATAATTTCTCCTTAAATTTAATTCATAAAAAAACATACTTTTTATCTTATGAGTATTTTTAGACTAACTTACATTTTATAGCGACTAAAAGTCCACTCTACTTTCGAAATTAACTTATATATTTAAGCTGCCAACAATCGATTAAAAACTTCAACGTAATAATAGTTATAAAAATAGCTAACTAATTTACGAACCCGCAAAAATGTTAACCACTTAAAAACAGTTAGATCCTAAAATAAGTTGCTAAGCAAAAATAGATAACTTATTAAAAACCTTAACCTTTTTTCAGTTTTGTTTTACATTATGTAAGCTTACTAAGAATTAATTAGAATTAATTACTTACTAAAGTCTTTTAATTAATTGTTGATCGTACCAACTAAGAATTTCCCTCCTTAATGTAAATCTTCAAAAACAATCCTTCTTAAAGATATTTTCGGTAGTAGTTTTGCTAATAACTAACTTACCAAAAAGACTAAAAGTCGATTTTAACTATCATCTATAAACTCTCACCTAATAATAGTTATAAAAATAGGTATGGAATTTGGGAAACCGCAACAAATGTTTGCCACTTAAAAAACGGTTAGATCTTGAACTGAAGTTGCTTAGCCAAAGTGGAAACACGGCGGTTGATGATGACGCGATAAGGGGAAAGGGCCATGCCACGCCGGGCCGGGCCGGGCCAGGCTGGGACGGGCCGGTCTAGGCCAAAGCAAAACTGTCTGGGCTTATCAGCGCTCATTTTTACACACATGGAAATTAACAGCAAACGCTCTCCGGACGCTGGCGAGCGTTTTATTGTTTAATTTCGTTTAACGCGCCTCGGGCGCCACCGTGCACGCGCCTCGTAAAAAAGTGTAAAGGTGCATTTGGCACGCCTAACTGTCATTTGCGCTCGTTTTTTACAACTCATTGTTTTTGCCGACTTTGTTTTACTTTTTTTTTGTTAAGTGCAAATGGCTAAAGTACTTGAAATGGAACGGTTTCTAGTTGAGATTGGGTTACTCTCTATTCTCTCTCCAAATGCAAGTTTTTTAAACTCAGACAATAAAAAACTTATTCTTTTTTATATCTAGATTATAGTTTGAGTATCATCGCTAAAAGTCTTACTAGTAAATTGCTACTAGTCCTTATAAAATTACTTCATTTTGGTGGCAGAAGGAGTTTCGACCAGAATAACTTTCTAAATTTGTTTTTAAAAAAACTTCTCATTATATATTTACGGCTTTATTGTAATAGGAAAATATAATTGTATTTAATATTTTAATATGTTTAATATATACTTAAGTATTTCAAGTATAAGCCAATTTTTATTATTTATTTATTGTTTTTAAATGAATTTAAGTTTAAAGTATACAGTAGAACTGCATGCTGAAACCTCCCATAAAACTGCTTAGGAGCTCTTGCACTGCTTAAGAAGTTTTAATCCAAAACGACTGAATGCACTGCACTGCTTAGGACGTTTTGTTTCCAACTTTAACATCTTAAAAATCGCATAAAACGATATGCCCCTTTGCGAATATCTTTCCATTTTAATGAGCGAACGTAAAAATGCTGAGCTTCATAGCGAAAGCATTAAGACCGAGAATTTCCAAGAAATTTACAAAATGCATTGCTACGCACGCGTTGCTTTTTCTTAACCCCGCCACACTAATCTGACTCATTGGCAGAAAAAAAAAGGGGGGGTAGGGGCATGGAAAATAACAACAAAACTGAACAGACAGTCAGAAGAGTAGCAATAACAACATCAATAATCATAACAATAACAACAACATTAACGTCGGCATTGACGCAATAACGGGCAGAAAAAAAGGCCAACCAGAAGACTGGAGAATGAAGAGAAGAGACCGGAGAAACGGAGATCAGAGATCGGAGAATCGAAAAGAGACTGAGAGGAGGCCGAAGCCAAAAGCCAACAACATTCCAATCCGAAACAAAGTTGCCAGACCAGTTAAGAAGCAACGACAACAACAGTCCGAAAGAATAACAAACAAAAACAACAGCCTCCAGAAGACAACGACAACGACAACGACGTTGAAGATGAAGAAGAAGCTGAAGAATCTGAAGAAGGAGACCAGAGCGAAAACTAGCTTATTGAAATATTTCTTATGATCCAAATCCAACGCTGTCTTTTGGTCAAGTCTTTTTTGTTTTCCAAATTTCAAAGCAAACCGAAAAAGTGGAAAACAATAAAATTATCGCATTATGATAAGCGGGAGATCAGGCCAGACTGACTGGGAGATATGACCAATCAAAAACCTGATTTGACCGATCGAAATTCCAAACTTATATCGATGGGCTAATCTTAATCATCATTATGATCATCATCATCTTTGATCAGGTGGCGATGGTGGTGCCGCCTCCCATTCATAATATCTCAATCTCGCCGGTTTGTCACAGCATCCACCTTTTTTTTCCACTCACCTGCCTTTGCGCATATTTTGTTGTATAATTTTCGAAAAGCTTTATTTAAGCGAGCATTTAAATGGTTAAATAAATATTAATAGATACTTTAGTGGTGTGTCTATATGCGGAACTTGGGGGATGTACCAAAACTTTTCCCTTGG